GTAATCCTCCCCTCAGCATCGGCAAGGGCACACTTAGCTTTTCAGCGCCAACCTTTGCCGACTCGGCGTCCTTGAGGAGTTGCTCGATTTGAGCAGCCTACCCCGCCAAGGTAGAGTCCCTGGCAGCCACATCCTCCATTGCTTGGGAGAGGGCCGCCTCCGCCTCCTCCTTCTGCTCTTGGGCCCGCTGGAGGTCCATCCTGGACCCATGGTACCGAGCAGCTATTATGGAGATCTGCTGGGTAGCCTGCAAAGGAGGAAAAAAAGTGTTATCACAAAAATGGAAAGTAAGAGAGAAGAAACCAAAGAAAAGGAACTTACCACCAGGGAATTTTGGATGATGGAGCGGAACAACACGTTCGTTGAACGCCCCCTATGAGCCGCCATGTCAGCCTCGAAATGCAGTGTCTCACTCACTGCATGGGCGACATGAGGATCCAGCAAAATGGAATCATCGACCCTGATCACTCGGTTCATGTGATCAGTGGCTCGGGGATTCCACTCCGCGGCTTCCACTGTCGGCGGAAGGGAAGGGGAGGCCTACTACTGCTGTTGTTGCTGTTGTCGTTGCTGTTGCTGCTGCTGCTGTTGTGGAGGAGCAGGGGGTAACCCACGGCCTCTCCCGCTTTGTTGCTGAGCGGGAGGTGCCCTGGATCCTCGGCCGAGCCCATCATGCCGATGTTTGACCCTTCTCTCCTCCTCCACTTGAGGATCCCGGTCTCACACCTGACCCCGACCGAGGACCCTTGAGGATGGGTTGGAACTGGTCCCGGCAAAGGGGGTGCCACCGGTCGTTCCTCGCCGGCAGCAAGGGCTTGCCTCTGCCTCAAGAACCCCAGGTCGATGCGAGGAGTGCTGGACATCGCGACCTCAAGGGCGTCCTCGGCGTCCAGAGATTGAAGAACTTGAAATTCTGGCCACAAGTCTTCTCCCGAAGTCCCCACCTCGGCGTCCGAAGGAACAACGTCCTCTCTGACCCCGAGCTCTTCAGCAACTCCCTCTACCTCTGCCTCCGAAGCCCGATCCGGGTCTTCCTCCAAGTTTTCCTCAACCTCTAACCTCGCCGCCTGATCGAAGAGTTCAGACCACCGCGAAGGATCAAAAGGTTGAGGAAGCTAAGAAAATTTCTTATACCCTGGGGTATAATTCAGCAAGATGTGGGCAGCCCGACCAAACCCGTCGTCACCCTTGAATCTCCAAACCGTGATTAGGTCGGCAAAGTTCACCAGCGACCGAGGGGGAGGAGCTGTTTCCCGAGCAGGAATATCTGCACAAACAAAAAAGTTGTCATGAACATAGGAAGTCTGAAGAAAGAAATAAAAAACCCAAGGGAACCGACGTACTTGTCGTTCTCCATTCCAGAGGGTATAACAAGTCATTATACTCGGGACCAACACCTCTCTGCCAAGATCCCTTGAAGATAAGAATATCATCCTTGTACCCCTTGTCCGAGTCAGGAAGATGGGTTACAAGGTACATGGAGGGGTCCCTGGCTTTGAGGTAGAAGTGTTGGTGAGGCATGACTCTCAGGAGGGAATAACAGAAAAGGAGATCGTTGAGCCCAATATTTACCCCGAGGCGCCTATTGAGCTCTAAAACCCCCATGATTATTCGAAAGACATTAAGGCAACATTGCCCGGGGAAGAGGCGAAAGTGAGAAAGGAACTGAAGAAGTAAGGGGGGTAAAGGAAACCTAATTCCTCCCTCTATTATGGCCTTGGTATAAAAGGGCATGGCATCCTCGGCCCCGAGGGTAGAAGAGTGCAACACAGGGTCATAATCCTCTACGTCTACGCACGGGGGAATGCCGTACTTGACCTTAAACCTACCAATCTGCTCATCACCCTTCACTTTATATTTTCCCGACCCCGAAGGACCAGCCTGAGGATTCTCAAGAGCAGGGCGACGACGAGGCATCTCTAAAAAAGTAAGAAAGAAGAGGGTATTTGTTCTTGAAAATCCCTGAGGAAGTTTTCCGAGGGTTAAATCGCTATGTATCAACCGGATGACACCTCCAGTCAATCGAAAAACAAAAAGCTAGGAGGAAGAAAAGAAAGGGGATTCTGAAACTCACCCGAATGTCAAAATAAAGTTTTTTTTTGGGAAACCTTAAAAGCGACTCCCTCCAGAAAGTTCAGAATCAACGGTGGGTCTGCTGGCTTTAAGATCTTAAGGAAGAATGGGCAGTCGACGATGGGAGAAGAAACAAAACTCCGGCGAAAATTCAAGAAGAAGCTCTCTTAAGGAAGTTCGAAATGGCAAAACGAGGAAAATGGAAGAGGAGCCCCCTTTATATAGAGACAATTTTCATCATTGGGCGCGAAAAACGAAACGGCGCATTTAATGCGCACGACATCCCAAGCCGGGAAAAGCGGCTCGAGACAATAATGAAGTACTGGTGGTTGTTGGGAAACCCTTCGTCTCCTTACGACGCGTGTCCTCGGTGTCAGAAGATCGAAGGCTGGGGGGCAGTTGATGGGACTTTTTTGAAATACCCTATGATGAAGACACGTGTCCTCGGTATTACTAAAACACTTGCTGAGATCAAGCACCATCGGCTCACGAAGGCCCTCTCCCCCGAGGTACTCGGCATATAGGTTCATGCATTCAGTATGTTTTGTACCGACACGTGGCCTCGGTCTGATACGGTACCTCGGTTGGTGTCCCTACCTCGGTGCCGAGATGATCCTTCCCCGGTGCCGAGGTGTACCTTCCAGGACGCCTCCTCTACTCCAGGATAAGCTATTGACGTACAAGTCATTAGCCTAGGCTATTTTAGGCTATTCATCATAACCTCGTCTTACACAAGTAATGTCAGAACGTACTGGAATGCAGAGGTCACAACCAATAGGGGATGGACGCGTGACATATGATATCACATCGAAGACAGACAAACCGCATGCCGTTGCTGACACGCGACTTGGAAAAGCAAACAATTAATTGCACCATTCCCTTGATGAGACCGCATTCAATGCGGTAAGGCTCGGAAATGAAAGGCAATAAATGCTCCTATTACAGAGCATTTATTGCATCCTCCCCGAGAGGAGCACATTGTACCGTCGGCATCCCGATGATCCAGCATTGATTGCTCGGGACCCCGAGCAGTTAATTAGAGAAGACATTCCTCATCAGAATCAATGCACACGCTACCTGTGCCTAATGATCACCTACTGACGACACTGACAGCAATCATGAGCTTTTAAGATATAAATATTCCTTGCAAAAGGCAAGACGGGTATGCAATCACAAACTCTCTACTACAATACACACTCAGTGTTTTCTCCTTCCTCTCTCTCTCTCTCTCACTCAAAGACTGACTAGATCGTCGGAGGGGATACGCCGGAAAACACTCCGGCGCCCTTCTAACTTGTTCTTCTTTGTTCCAGGATCCTCTTGCAGCCTTACAGGATCGTTCTTCCTTCCCAGGGTCTTCCGTTGCCGTTCCAGGTTACCACCGTACCTTGCAGGCTGTCCCAAGCAGCGTGTTTAGTCACTCAACTGGTTCACTCCAGTTCACCAAGAAAGAGATCTGTTCTCGTTTTTTATATTGTGCAGGATCCTGCACGCACATTATAAATTAAAAATAAAAATATATTTGGGGGTACAAAATAAAATTAGCGCACCAGAAATCATGTAAAGCCAAAAGCCCCACAACAAAGTACAACTGTTGGTAAAGGGGGCTGGGATAGTGGCGTCCGTTCCAATCTAGTTCCGAAAAGGTTCGCTACCGACATGAGATAATCATTCAGTTTTTTCAACAAATTTGCTCTATAAGAATTGAATGATTCGTATTTTATAATTAAATTTATTTATAAGCAATGCTATAAAGAATTAATTCCCCAGTTTAATGTAATAATTGAATTAATTATAAGTTTTGATATTAAATAGACTCCATATTAATTGATTGAGTTATGATATTGAATCTCAAAATTAAGTTCAAATAATTTTTTTTTTTTTTACTTATAACGATTGTTAGGGGAATATTTTTTTGGTTTGTACCTTAGAATTAATCCGTGAGATTTATTTACCACTTCCTCTTGTATCATAAACCCACTCATTTTATGTGTAACCCTTCACCAACTAGTAAGGATCTTCGGATGTTAAAAAATTACCAGCAGAGGAGCCGGACAACCCCCCCCCCCCCCCCCCTCTCACACTAGTCACCTCCCTCTATTTGACAGGCTTGGGGCTCTTGAACAAAAATCATTAAGTTCTTCACTTTCTCAGGTAAAATATAAGAGTATTGTTATATTTACTAGATTTTTTATTTTAAATCAGTATAAAATGTTAGATTAGTAAATTTTACTCACTCACACTAAATATTGAATACATAAAAATTTGCCACATTATTTGAAATATAATATTTGATAAACTTATTTTGGATATATTATTTTATTAAAAATATAAAGATAAAAATACGATGTCAAAATTTATTTTTAATATATATGAAAAAATAATTTTTAACCGTTGTTCTTACTTATTTTCAATTGTGATTAACAATGATGAAAATAAAAAGTAACATATTACACCTTTCGTGTGTTTATTAAAATAAAATAGAATAATAGAAGTGTGGTAATGAAAAATAACAATATAATTGGAATTTAATTTATTGACTTAATTATTAGAATTTAATTTATTAGTCTAATTCACTTAATTGAATATAACCTTTGGATATAATATGACTGACCGACCCACCGACCTCCCATTGCAGAAGTGATTTGTTCAGGACAACACACCGAAGTTTCCTAGTAACTTCCTTGCAGAAGTGATTTGTTCAGGTATATATAGGAGACTGACAATAGAGGAGGTCAGTATAACCTGAGAATCAATCTGTCTCCCTCTCTCCCTCTCTCAGTGCTGTTTTTGTGTTTGATTGCAGAAAAAGAGCAAGAACAACAATGGGCATCCTTGGTTTTGCAGGTACGACAAATCCATAGATTCAACGAATTTTCGTTTCATGATTTTCGAAGATTACGTTTCCCTGACATGTATGAGTTCTCATGTTGAAAGATATGAAAAATGACAAGAAGAAGAAGAATGGCGACGGCGGCGGAGAACGGAAAACGAAGAAAGATGCCATAGACAAGCCAAAGGAAAAGCTAGAACAGAAGAAATCCAATGAGGTTGTAGTTACTGTGATCGCGCATTTAAGCAAAATAAAATTAATATTCATCGAAATTATTAGTCTATTTGCTTCTCTGTTCCATTGATTTTATTGTAATCTTTTTTTTTTTTTTTTGTAGTTAGTCCAGCCTCAGTTGGCAACTGCGATGCTGAAGGTGCATTCGCATTGCGACTGCGATGGATGTACCGAAAACATTCAGAAAGTAGTCACCAAGACAATTGGTAACATTTTAAAACCTCCCTCTTTTTCCATTACAATTTTTTTTTTTTTTTTGTATTTGTACCAGACCGTGACGGAGTATTCACGGCGTTTACTGCTATAGGATATCATCAGATGGCCATCGACGGCGCAAATGGTCAAGTGACAGTCAAAGGGTCAATGGACATGAACGCTCTGGCCAAGTCACTGGAGCAAAAGCTGAAGCGTTATGTTGAGATTGTTCCACTTTCACCTCAGAAGGAAGATGAGAAGAAAGAGAAAATCGGATGTGATCACAAAGAAAAGGATGGAGGAGAGAGAAATATTGGTGGCGAGGGTGACCTAGATGGCGAAAATACAGAAAAAAGATATGGTGAGAAGAATCATATGTAATTCATATCAATTATTTTGGGCTTTTACTGATATTTGGTGACTCAGTAGATTGATTTGTTGGTCTGTCTCTGATTTGTGTATAAAAAGGTGATGAATTTGCGAAATACGTCAATGGCGACACGAAGAAACCGACGGTGATCGGAAAAGTAAATCCGGCTGAACTCCGACCAACGGTGGATCAGAAGAAGGGCAAGAACAATAACAAAGGCGATGAAGGAGAGAATGAAGTTAAACAGAGGATCACGGTGATTCGGACGGAAACCAAAAAGGCCATCCGTGGATTTCCACGTACGACAAATCCTTAGATTCAACCAATTTTCGTTTCATGATTTTGGAAGATTGCGTTTGAATTCACTGTTTCTAATTTATCTTTCGATTTTCACATTGTCTTCTCAATTGTTATCATTGATTTTTCATTCTTCGGCTGTTCTGTTTTTCAAAATCTCCACCATTTTCTCCCTATTTTCCGAGATCAAGCACAGATCAACACCATTTTTCTTTCTGATTTCAACTGGTACTTACTATCTTCCAATACGTCACCTGATTTTGTGATTTACAAGGTTTAGTTTGAATTTGCAATTCAGTAAAATGACTTGTTGGTTATTTTTTTTTGCCTGATTTGTATGGGTGAAGGTGTGGAATCTGTAATACACGACGAAGGCAACACGAACAAACAGACTGTAATCAGAGAAGAACATCCGTCGAGATTCGGAGAAGCAGTTGAAAATGTCCAGCAGGCCTCTCCTTTGCCAACAAAAGATAAGAAAAATGACAAGAAGAAGAATGGCGACGACGGCTGCGGCGGCGAAGAACGGAAAACGAAGAAAGCTGCCATAGACAAGCCAAAGGAAAAGCTAGAACAGAAGAAATCCAATGAGGTTGTAGTTACTGTGATCGCGCATTTAAGCAAAATAAAATTATTATTAATCGAAATTACCAATCTATTTGCTTCTCTGTTCCATTGATTTTATTGTAATCTATTTTTTTGTTTTTGTAGTTAGTCCAGCCTCAGTTGGCAACTGCGATGCTGAAGGTGCATTCGCATTGCGACTGCGATGGATGTACCGACAACATTCGGAAAGTAGTCACCAAGACAATTGGTAACACTTTAAAACCTCCCTCTTTGTCCATTACAATTTTTTTTTTCCAGACCGTAACCGAATATTGTCGGCGTTTACTGCTATAGGAAATCATCAGATGGCCATCGACGGTGCAAATGGTCAGGTGACAGTCAAAGGGTCAATGGACGTGAACGCTCTGGCTAAATCACTGGAGCGAAAGCTGAAGCGTTATGTTGAGATTGTTCCACTTTCACCCCAGAAGGAAGATGAGAAAAAAGATAAAAGCGGATGTGATCACAAAGAATAGGATGGAGTTGTTACTTACACATTTTTAATATATTTTTACATAATGTTTGAAGTAATTATTAGGAAATTATTTTTGTAAGTTAGGTTATTGATAGAATAATTTGTGGATAATTTCTTAGGTGGTTATTAAAAGAGTGGAGTCATGAGTAAGTTAGTTATTAGGATAGTTTTATTATCTTGTATTTAAAGGTTTTCTTATCAATGAAATAAAGATAATAAATATTATATTGAACTTTTTTGTAAAGTTTTGTAGATAAGTTATTCTCGAATTAAACCATGGGAGGTTTTCGTCCTCTCAAAGTAGGTTTTCTTTCTCAATTTTATTTGGTTTTGTTTTATGAATCACTTAAAATCGTGCATGTAACAGGAGGAGAGAGAAATATTGGTGCGAGGGTGGCCTAGATGGCAAGAAGACAAAAAAAAGCTATGGTGAGAAGAATCATATGTGATTGACATTTGGTGACTTAGTGGATTGATTTGTTGGTCTATCTCTAATTTGTGTATAAAAAGGTGATGAATTTGCAAAATACTACAATGGCGACACGAAGAAACTGACATTGATCGAAAAAGTAAATCCGGCAGAACTCCGACCAACGGTGAATCAAAAAAAGTGTAAGAAGCTCCAAAGGGTCTCTCCAATATTGCCAGGGGAAGACAAGAACAACAAGAAAGAGAATGGCGGTGGCAGAGAAGAGAGGAAGGAGAAGAAGCAAGAGGCCAAACCCAAGCCAAAGGAAAAGCCGGAAGTGACAAAATCGACGAAATCTAATGAGGTAGTTAATGAAGAGATCTTTGTTTATTTGGTCTATTTTATGTTTTAATAAATCCTAGTCTTTAAGATGAGTCCTAGTCTTTAAGCATGTTGTTATTCATTTTATTTTATCAATCACGTAGCTAAGATAAAGCTAACGTGTGTTGTTTTTATGCTTTATGTTAGAGTTGTAAATGGCTATAAAAGCCAAGTTGAGTCTTCAATAAAAGTGGTCAAGTTATTCAATCTTTTTTGTTGAGCTCTTGTGATTACATCAAATTGATTCCAACATATTGGTATCAGAGCCAACACTTGGCATGAGAGAGAGGGAATTCGTAGTCTTTCTGACTTGCACACACACTGGGGAGTTTAAACACAGGAGTTTGAGAGATGTCGAGTGCAAGTGAAGGTCAATTCGTCCAACCAGCCATGCTGTGCTTTGATGGTCATTACGATCATTGGAGTATGCTTATGGAGAACTCCTTAAGGTCGAAAGAATACTGGAGTTTGGTCGAGAAAGGATATGATGAACCGCAAGCAAATGCAATTGTGACAGAAGCACAACAAAAGAGGCTCGATGATATGAAACTCAAGGATTTGAAGGTCAAGAATTATCTGTTTTAGGCAATAGACATAACAATTCTTGAGACTATCCTACAGAAGAACACGTCGAAACAAATATGGGATTCGATGAAAAAGAAGTACGAAGGGAATGCTAGAGTAAAGCGTTCAGTCCTTCAAGCCCTGAGGAGAGAATTTGAGACTCTCGAAATGAAATCAGGTGAATGTATTACTAATTATTTTAGTAGAGTTATGTCAATAAGTAACAAAATGAGATTTCATGGGGGGCAAATGCATGATGTCACCATTGTAGAGAAATCCTTAGGTCCTTGACAGACAACTTCAACTATATTGTTTGTTCTATCGAGGAGTATAAGGATACTGACACACTCACTTCATTAAATTTTTAACTACGCCATTATTTTTATTAACTCCTGATGATAAATTTTTGATTCCGCCCCAGTATTTAAATTTTTTTTTTCGTTGGAAGAGTCGCTGCACTTGAGTCTTAAAGTTGCAGCAACATAATTTAAAATCTTCCAATAGAATAATGATACATATGTTTCGCTTTACAGCAGACCACCTTCATTAGTTTTGTTTTACAGTAATGTTGGTTAGGTTATGAATTTCACTGCCCTCGCTTGTTCTATCCATTGCTTTATCCTTTATGTGGCCGCCCTTCACATAAGTTGATAGAATAATGGCACTGAAAATAAGTTTTTAGTACCGTATTTTATATTTTTTTTATTAATTACAAAAAGGACTAATCTCATTTCACACTCCAATATGATTTAATTTTCAATTTGCAATCAAACATTAAAAATTTTAATTTATACCTTCAAAGTTATGAATTAGTAGCAAGATGGAGTTAGCCCAAATTGTCATTCAATTTTTCGTTATAAATTGAAGTACAAGTGTTTTGAGCATAAACTTATGTGTAAATTCACAAATTGTTGGTGCCTAACGTGAATTGTATATAATAGGGTTATGCTCCATTTAATTAATAAAACCTATTTTTCATACACAAAATTGAGTCAAATTAATTACAGACGTATATCTATTACCTCATCCTCATGCTCAAAATATTTACACCGCACGTACTTTAATTTATGATGGAAAATCAAATGGCAATTTGAGTCAAGTCCACATTGCTATCAATTCACAATATTTAGAGTGTAAAATTAGATTTTTAATATTTGGAGCTATAAATTAAAAATAAAAATATTTTTTAGAGGAACAAAGTGAAATTAGTGCATCAGAAATTTCGTAAAGCCAAAAGCCCCACGACAACGACAAAGTACAACTGTCAAAAAAAGGACATGATCAATAAAAATTGACCGGAACAGTGGCGTCCATTCCTATCCAGTTCCGAAAAGATTCCCTGCCGGCAAGTGAGAATCATTCAGATTTTTCAACAAATTTGTTCTATCAGAATTGAATGATTCGTATTTTATAATTTGATTTATTTATGAGCAATATTATAAAAAATTAATTCAGAAACCCGATTCTATTAATAATTTAATTAATTATAAGTTTTGATATTAAATGGACTCCATTTTAATTGATTGAGTTATGATATTGAATTTCAAAATTAAGTTCAAATAATTTTTTTTTTCACTTATTACTATTATTTGGGGATGTTTTTTTAGTTTGTACCTTAGAGTTAATCCTCTCGTATCGTAAACCCACTCATTTCCGTATAACCTTTCAACTACTATGGACCAATAGCAATTTTTCATCGTAACAGCTCACGAAAGCGAACTGCTAACCTTACTGGTAGTCACCACAATGTCTGCACGTGGCTAATTGTTTTCCAAAAGTACCAACCATTTTGTGAAACACGTGGATGCATATACAAAGCTTTAAAGGACATATCAGTAAATTGACCCAAGTCCACTCAAGTTCTCTACTGTGGGTTGATTGTTTTTTGGCGGGCGGACTAAAAGACCTTTTCATCTTTTTTTTATTCCACTTTATTTTCTTATCGTACCAAACAAGGAAAGCTTTTCTTACCTATCCTATCAAATAGAGGGTAAAAGTTCAATTCGATAAGTTGATACTCAAGGGCTTTTTTGGTATTTTAATTTATAACATATTTTTCTCCTTTTTCCTAATTGAGGTCCGTTTAGTTAAAAAGAAAAAAAAGATATAAAATGAAAGTGATAAAAAAAATTAAAAAATATATATATTTTCTTATATGTATTTGATTAGGATGAAAATTTTGTAAGAAAATTTCATTCTGTAGTTTGGAAAGCAAGAAAGTTACAAGAAATTTTATTTAATTATCTAAATTACCCTTATGTATAATTATTCAAAAGTGGTTCTACCCATATGACTACAGAACATAAAATTGACAATAAATTTTCTCTCTGTTGCTTTAACATATATTATTTTGTATTACAAATTAATTTATGATCATTTTTTTTTTCAAGTTAAGATATTCAGCTCACCAAACTTATAACACTGCGTTTGTTAACAAAAAATAAGATTTATATCACCCTAGAAAAAAAAAAGATACAAGTTCGTTGAATTGGTTTATTTTTTAATTGACATTGCGAGGCACAATTTGAGTTGCCCATATAACTCAATACCAATTATTACGTCCATAAATTAATAGAATATAACATTCATGCTATATACTCTAGATAGTTTGCTGAGAAGGTGAGTGCTAAGAGGAGTTATCGTGTGCTAAAATAAGAGCAGATTGGTAAACAGTGAAATAGATAACCAACTTTCATGGGAAAAAAAAAATTTCATGCAGGTTTTGTGGGAAATGAAAAACAATCAAATATGGGAAAATTTGATCATGCGGAAAAAAAAATTTTGTCGAGAAACATTCGTTTCCTACTAAACAAACGACAGATTTTTTATTTTTTTTCTCTTTCCCCCTTTTTTTATTGTTCTCTCGCTAATCAAACAAACCCTTAGGGTATAGATTCAGATTTTAATAATCATTCTTTACATTTACTCAAGATATATTATGATACGAATATAAATAAATAATATTAATGCGACCAATATATATATATTGCAATAGAATAGATGGTATAAGATATATTAAACAAATTCATAAATCTTAATTGACCAAAAAATAAAGTAAATTTCATTATTAAGGTACTTATCATGGATGGTTATGGATCATACTATTGTTTTTGCATGCAAAAAAAAAATTTTAATTAATTCAAATCCAATTATGTCTTGACCCATTCCCGGTCGCTAATATTTATATGAGTAATGTTATCGGAACTTAATTTATTGACATAATTTATTAACTTAATTTATTGTAACATTTGGATTGATTATAGACCCCATCAAACATTAAAATGTGGTGTTGATCCAATGATTTCTATAAAACTACATCATTATGTCAACAAATTATGTCAAATTTTTAAGTTTAAATAACATTATTCTATTTATATACACACTTCTAAACTCAATCAAGCCCTTGGCATGGCACGTCAAATAACAAATTTACTACAAATAGCATTAGTCTAACCAGATTATACATGGTCAAAGCTCTTATGAAATTGAAAATTAATAATGTTATGATAACCAAAACTTACACCAAATGACGTGAAATAGACAACTATTAAATGGGACTCACAATATGATGACCGTGATCCACTGCTACGATGACCGTCGTTCACTACCATCACTTATTTTTATCGTTATCTCATTCTTATATTTATTATCACTACTATCATCATCTCATTAATACCGTCAGCACTCACCACCACTATTGTTGTCCACTACCACTATCCGTCGTCACCCACCATCGCCATCAACCATTATCACCCACCCCCCACCACACCTACCACCACCACTACGTTTGTAATTTAATTTTAAATGTGAGTATAAATATGTTTATTGTTGACTATTTTTATTATTACTTTGTGTCTTCAGGTAATAATTAGTATTTAGATATTCAATCAATTTATCATGTTCAAATTAAATTAATATAAAAAAATATTAAATACCAAACCCTAAAAACTCATTAATCTGTGTGTGCAGATTGAGATATCGAATAAAATCAAGACGGAATTCATTATATTTTGTTATTGTATTTGAATATTATATTTTTTTTATTTATATTTGAATATTCTAACAATTTATCATATGTCAACTTCAAAAATATAAGAAAAACATCAAAAACCAAACCCTAGGAAACTCAATTGAAATGTATGTACATATCTAATGTAGATCTAATAAGTCCGAAATTTTTTATGGAGACTAATTGTGTGAGGTAAAATGGCAAACAAAAATCATTACCAAAAAATTGGAAATTAGAGTGTGTTCATGTCGATAGACACTTACCGGGAAAAAAATGATTTGACGTAAGTAAAAACAAATTTTGGTGTCTTGCAAGCACTTGGACGGTGCTACACAACTTGAAATGACGGGTTTATAAAGTTGTGGGCCCATTTAACAGCTGGACATTCCACGTCATTTAATGTAAATTTTGACCACCAAAACTTATTGTTTAAGAAAAGTTAAAATAGTATACTTACT